AGTATTGTAAAATAATTTTTTTATGTGTTTCACACCGTGTGAAAAATCAGTCGTGTAACATCGACGGTCGCTCCTGTAGATGTATACCGGTACGTTGAAAATTAAAATGTGTATAAGAACATGCCTTTACCCTTCGTTGAAGGGCAATTGATACTCTCTAATTCCTCCCTAAAATAAAGAATACATAAATTTACACTTGTTTTATAATAAATATCTAATAAATCTCAAATCTCCGAGTTCCCTATTTTATGGCAAAGTTCACGTGGCCTATCTAATGTCAACCATCGGGAGTTAAACTCGACATGACTGTCGCAAGCTTCCCTTTCGATGGCTACACTATAATAATGGATTAGTGTGATCATAATTATCGTTATTCTACAGATGAATTTTGGATATTCAATACATTAACATTAACATGAAGTTTAAGCAATGCAGCAAATACACCTACCGGTACGCCTCGAGAGTTATTGCGCAGTAATATTGCCCGATGAAAACGTCTTATATATTAGTGGAACTGATAATATCTCTGTATCATTTATGCCAATTATAATGTATTTCCTTTTAATAAATTAATCATTTGGCCTGTATAATTAACTGTTATATAATAAAGAACCTGATACGTAGGCAAATATGGTACGTAATGAATGAATATAATTTTCATTAAGCATTAGCTAATAATCTAAGTCTGGTATCTCATTAGAGTATATTTGTCCAGGTCGCCAAATTTCTCGGCGGTATTAAGTATGTTGTTTAATAATTAATACCGTATAGTCGCGAAATAACGTGCAGGGTGTAATTTCGAATTTCGGCCTAAATTAAGTCGAAATTCGAAACAACGTTGTTTCACGACTATATGGTAAATGTTTTAAATATCAAATAAAGATTTCTTCTATTAATCATTTAAATTAAAAACTCTCGACAGACGCTTATAATTTTTGGTGGTCGTAATGAAATCGATGATCTGTGAACTTAAGATATTGCGACAAATCAATGGTCAATCGGAAATATTTAATTCAACCATGAATATAACTCTTCGAGGACATATTGTAACATTAGTGGATAATTATACGTTTGTTGTTTTTGGTAAATTTTTAATTACTGCATTTTTTTATTCTAAAATATTTAAGGTATGCTAGATGTAAGCCAGAAGGATTCTTATAAATGGATTACTGAATTACTCCAAATACAACAATTCCTAATACAACTCCAACAACTACAATTCAAAATCATAAAATAATTTTAGATTCTGAAGGCTCCAAAAACACTAGTTTAATTATTGGATCCATCATTGGCAGTGCTATATTATTTTTTTAATAATAAATATTGCCATTATTTTAACTTTAAAATTGATTATTATAACCTGACCGGGTTAAGTTCTGCAAGAGGTTGAAAAAAATTTTTTAATATTTTACTATCTGGATCGTTTTAAATATGGTTGTATTATGAGAACCTAGTTATTCCAGGACATCTCCGAGATTTGGATCTTATCGCGTAAACTTAAAACCTTTAAACACTAGATTAATTACATTGATTTATATTATTAATCAGAAAATTGATCTCTGTAATTTTATTTTCCTGGTATGTACAAAAGTAATTCTGGTGAAAAAACTGACATGAAACAAAATATATTATTAATTACTTGCAGATAAAAATAGATTGTTTGTATAGTTGCTATAATATGATAATTGGTTTGGGTTCACTTCCTTCAATGTTATTTTTTTGTTCAACACTTTTCACTGCATTGTCAATCTCTTCCATCTAAGTCTAATCTTTTCTATATCCCCCTTGATATTTTGAAATTCACTACGAATTGTCTTATTAAGATTATCATTGAATAGTTCAGAGAGACCTCCAATGAATTCTTTGTGGAGTTTATTCATATTCAATTCGGTAAATTTTTTAAATTCGTTACTTGAGTCTTTGTCTATACAACCGGAATACAAGTTATTGCAAATTATCAAATTAGATAAAATAAAACTAAAGACCCTTGATGTAATATCTGGTCTGTCATTAAATTTTAGTCCATGTAGAAGTTTCTTGAAAAATTTCACACGTCAATTGAAAAAAAAGAAAAAAAAAACAGGACAAATTCATTGAGTATGAGGAATTTTGTATGGGAAAGTATCTGTAGTACCGTTAAATTTCTATGAAATAGAAAAAATTCCAGGCCAATTAGGATTACAGGTAACAGTTGCAAAAAGAAGATATAGCATTGTAAGGATTTATTTCATCATTGAGTTTATTAGCGAGATCTGCAAGGTACATTGCCAGCCCCATTTCTATCCCAATATCTTTAAAGTCTTGTTTACTCATCTTAAGGAAATCGCGACCAATAATCTCATGGTTGCGCAAAATCTCAAAACGATTTGCGTTCAAGAACAATCTTCGTTTTTGTAAAAACTCAACGAGTTCTTCCATATTCTTCTCTTTAACTGAATTGCTTTCATCATATAAAGACAGGGATATTGATGTTTGGCATTATCTGATAGTGATGTTGTTGTTTGATGTTAAATGATGAAGGTAGTAAACAAATAGGAGTAATTGTTAATTCATGCCAATTTTATAATACAAAATTAATCACTCAGATCCCTTCTTACCGTATGCAGAGTTTTCATTAGAACTTGTGTTTTTAATTTTCGTCTTCTTTACCAATGCCTCTTCATCCATTTTGTTAATAGGAACATCATCGACGAACTGTTTCCGAAATGCTTCAACCTGATCTGCGGAATTTTTGATTGCATTTAATTGTTGTTTAACCCGTATGGTTCCAATTTTTTTGTATGCTCGATTCTGCTTATACACTTTTTTCACCGGTGCAGTCCAATCCTTGAGCAAATAGAATCTGCAGTAGTAAATCATTTACTATAAAAAGTCTTCAATTAAAATATACAAAGGGAGTTTCGGGCTAAAAGCCCACCACACTTGAACCAGAAGTTAAGGTTACCTATAAACTAAAAGTTTAGCTCCTCCCAAGGATAAAAGGAAGTTCGAGCTAATAGCTCACCACACTCGAACCAAAAGTTGAGGCTACCGCTCTAAACTAAAAGTTTAAGCCCTTCCTATCCTTACTATGAACTTAGATCGCAAAGCAGCTATATCTCACCTTCCAATTATTTATAAGTTCTTGAGCATTTGTTCTGCGTATTATGTTGAATCCATACTCGTGTTCATAGATCATCGTGTATGTTTTATAGTAATCAAAGTGAGCAGCACCGACGTGAAACTTCTCAAAAAGGGCTTCTCTTAGCTCAGTATCATAGGTTGGAACGACATCTGCTGCCCTTTGGGGCTTTTTTTTCTCTGTCAAGAACCTTTGATAGCACGTAGATAATTTGTTTGTGATAATAATCTACTAAATTGGCACAAGTCCATTCGTGGATCGGTAAATCCTGTAAAACTCAAGATTTGAAGTCATAGAAACGAAAAATTTTTAGGTCATTAAAGCGTGTCCAGACGCGAAGGTCGGTTAAAAGTGGAGCGAATTTTGATTGTCTACATGTTATGTGGTGGTACAATCAATGACATCGCGGGCCGCATAAACATTAATCTAAATTTGTCACTCGATCACCCGAGACAAACACAACTACGGAAAACACTATGTGGGATCTCGCCTCGCTGCTCACGTGGTCTACAGTCGGTTTCTCTCTATTCTATTCTATTTTCCCTTTCTTTGACATCCGAGCTGTTTGATTGGGCTATCAAAGCACTTATCTTCGACATCCGGGTTTTCCACCCGGGCTATCTACACATCCCTACCCTTCAAGCGTTTCAAATGTAGAACACTAACCCTGCCCAATGGTGGGTGGATAACGATGAAGCTATACTTGCGTCGAGCTAGCAGCAAAGACGATCGGTCCACAATACAACATACTTACAAATCGGTACTCATCACACAATACATCAAATCCATTTACTATGACCTCATACTGCCCTCATCCAAATGCAAATCGAACAATGCCACAAATCGCTGCTTATCGCACAATATATCATACTTACAATTCCTTATACCCATCAACCAAACAGATCGATACTCACCACATACTATAAATCACTTACCCTGGTTGTGATCTCGTGACAAATGGATGCCTCGTAACTTCGTTCACCGCATCTCATTTATGCAAATGCATATGCACAACTAAATTTCTATAAATTTTTATAATCCGCAAGTCGTTTTTTTAATTTGGTTGCGGGTCCGCAATTTTAAAAATTGAATTTCAGACACTGGATGACCACTAAAAGTACGTGTCCGCCACTGCAGATTTAGATTTTGATTGGCCGAAAGCGAGATTAAAATTTAGGCCGGACTTACTCGAAATTTCACTAATGAAATCGCAGCTGCTTATTAAGTGAAAAGATTTCTGGATTAATTTTACCATGGAGTGATTCCGTCCAAAATTACGCAAAAAATTATGTAATGCGGGCCAAAATTTCGTCGATCACGGTCGTTGGCCAATCGAAATTAAGAACAGATGTGGCCCGATCATCTGACCCGTACTTCTTTTGACCTAATTACGCATTTTGAGTTTTTTTTGATAGTTACATTAATTAAAACTTCCAATTTATTACAATAATATTTTTTTAAAAAAAAACATTAATGAGATTCTTATAATTTTTATTTAACTAATAACAACGTATATCTTTATAAATTTTGAGTATTCTGCTAGTATTTTTTAATATCATTTTCATAATTAATTTAGAAGAATAGCTAGTAGAAATTTTTTCACATAAGAACATCAACACTATATAAGATATTTTGATTTTTTATTATAAAGTCTGCTCTCCATACAGTCACTCTATATAGTCACACCCTCTTTATATGCACACTAATTTTTAGAACAAAATTTATAAAACATAGGAAATTTGACCTCTATATAGGCACAATTGCTTAATTGTTTATAAGCACGGAATTTCTTGGAACCGAGGGCGTGATTTTACTGTATTTGAATTTTTTTTATCTTTGAAATATTGTGATTCTATATATGGGATAATTCAGCTGATAGTTCTATATAGATTTGACTTGAATTAGTTATTTCTTCTAATCTCCAAAAATCCAAAGTTAGCAAACTTGATATTCTTTTAATAAACAAGTATGTTATTTGAATGTTATTAAAAATTAAAATATTATTAATATAAACAAGACTAGGTCAGAAGCAAAGTAACATTAATACAGTAGAACGAGTGAATTTTACATATTGCGTAAAAAGTTGTAGAATTTCTCAATTAATCATCAAACTGAACCAATGATTGCCTTTTTCAAATCATTTTAAACATGTTAGTTATTCTGTAAATAAGGAATAACGCCAATGCGTATAATTTCAAAACTTGGCCTAAATTACCTTAAACATAATTCGGGCCAGTATTTAAAAATATTTATTGAAAAATTTTCCAATAACTACAAAAACTTTTAAGTATTGTATTCAACGACGACGAAAAGTATTAAAAATAAAGATTGAAACACCAATGCCAATTCCAAGAATTTTCAACCATTTTCCTAAATTGACATTCTCAGTACCGTGTAATTCTTTTTTCCAATTATCTCTTTTCAATTTCCAAGAATTTTTTGGTGAAGAATTTGAAATTTTATCTAAACCATCAAATTTAATTTCCACCATCATATATTTATGATCAGAAGCAGAATAATCATCATTACCAATCCATCGATTAATAACTTCAAAACCGCATAATAGAGTCCAATCAAGTTTTGCAGAATATAGACCAAAATAATTTTTATTTGCTAATGTAATATCTCTCGTAGGTGACCAAGGATCATAAAAACCAGGATTTCGAGCAGCTTTTAAAACATCTAAATTAAAACCTGAAATTATATCATTATTCAGCAGAGAATTAAGTTGATTGACATTTGTATCATCATTTTTGTTAGAAAAATATTTTAGCCAAATAGCCAGAATCCAGGAACCACCAGCTTGTAACTTAAGGTTTATATCTCCGTCATTAATATGCCAATCAAAAAGATTGACATCCCACCATTCAGATTCAGACCAACCTAATGACAAGAAACGATATCTATCTGTACAGTATAAAGGAGATAATCGTGCAATTGAATGTCCCATTGTATTTAAATCACCAAAGATTAGTTGATGAGGATGAGAATTAATGTGATTTGTAGAATCCAGTAATATCTCCGAAAATTGAGAAATTCTTCCAATAATCCCACAAAAGACCTGTACAAAAGAATGGTACAAATATTTTTTTTAAAAAAAGAAAGCAGTTAAAGAAAGCAGTTAAATGATTAAAATAATTGTCGCAGCTGATGTTTGTGCCAAAAATTTGATGGATTGAATCAATAGCTAAGTTAGGGTTTTCAAATGAGATTCCAATTTCCAGCCGCAAGTCGTTTTCAGCATCAGCTACATTCAATGTCTCCGTTTTCTTAATCAGCTGCAACTAAGATTAAAGATATCAGAAAAGTATTTCAATACCTCCAAGTGAACACAGTAGCATAAAATTGGCGGACCGATCGGAGTTTTAATTTCAGCAACCAAAGTAAATCTCCTACAACACAATTATATATAATTACTCTAATTTAATAAACCAAATTTATTAAAACTTTGAAATATATTTACCTGCCTTTCCTCGGTTCGCGTAAGGATATACCCTGCCTTTCCCAATCCAATGGATGGTATTTATGATCAAGTACACGAAAAGTTATCTCATGTTTCGTGAAAATAGCATTACCGTGAACACCACCACCTTGGTCTCTATCCTTTCGAAGATTACTTTCTAATTCAATAAATTCACATACAAATCCACCTTTCCAACCTAATCTGGAAGCAATTTCTTTAAAATGGTTTTTATTTTCAGATCTTTTACAATGAATGTCTACTTCTTGAATAAAAGCAATATCTGGATCTAATTCTTTTAAAGTAGAAAGTATTTGCGAAAAACAATAATTACGCTCAACATTCCATTGCAAACATTTAAAAGTTGACGTTGAATCGATTATTTTAGGATCTTGATTTTGAGGAAAACTGTCTATTTTGCGAAAATCGTAAGTGATAATCTCGCCAGGCTCGGGTAATGCGAAAGAATTATCCATTTGTTTTGGCGAATCGCCATAACAGTACAGTCATTAAAAAAAAAAAAAAAATACCAGTTATTGTGATACAACATTTATTTTTTAAGAGTTAATATTACACAGCAATTGATAATTAATCATGCGATATATATCCCTGGTTAGATAACCATTTTACGCATAATGAGTACGTATTACACATTCATTCGCGTATTACGTTAAGCCAAAAAAGTTAATTATATTAATGCATAAATAATCATTATATCTGATATGTAATAAGCAATTTAAAACAGCAAAACGTACATATTGTATAGTAATTAACCAATGTCTTTTATTCCAGCATAGTGAATTTCATGAAGCCCCTTTAACTGTAGGAGGCACTCATATTGTTAGGGACGCGTCTTTTATAAGATTTTTCGATAGATATAATTTATAACTCTTGAACGAATTCAATTTATGAATTCACGCGTTTTAAAAATTAGTGCAATTATCTATGAATATAAAAAAGAATGAGTTTTAATACCAAAACCAAGTCTTATTGTTAGTATATCTGTTAATTGACTTATCAATGCCGGACTGAATTTTGTCATTGTTATATAATACGGTTAAATAAATCTATATACCACTTTTTTAATCAAGATTGATTATCGTTCATGAAAAGTGAAACTAAATGTACAGTGCCGTTAAGTAGCTACACATATCAATATTTTCTCAATTCTCATTCACATATGCCAATTGAAGAGGTACTATAATATTGATATATAATATTATACATATGTTAGGCCTTAATTCTAAGTGAATTTTAATGGGAATATGTCTACGAATTTACGAATTTTACGAATTTATTACTCATACATATATTAGGCAACAGACTAATTTTCATATTATATACTTTTGATACAAGTTCAACAAATGAACGTGTCTCTTATATTACTGTATTATAGGCAAAGGTTTGATTTTTATTATATAGTACCAGTTTAACTCATTAAATTTAGCTATTATTTTTGGAGATTTTTTTTGCATAGCTATAACTTAGTTATTTTTCCGTAAGACATATGTTCATTTTACAGAGTACACCTATAGCAAACGCACATTCACTTTAATATTTTTTAAAAAAACAAATGTTATTCATGTAATGGATATTTTTAACACGTCATTCATGCAATGTAAGTTCATAAAAAATGTTTTTCGCGTAATGAATATTTTTTAAAAAGGTCATTCATGTAAGAAAACATTTAAGCCGAACTTTTTTTTATGAACGGTTAGACAAACTTTTTAAAAATTCATTACGCGAACAATATTTACAGTACATATTCTACTAGCAAATTAGGCGGATCATATAAAGTGAAGCTTATAATTAAAACTTACATAGAACGATAACTTTCATTTAATAGACTGTGTTACTGGTAATAATGTAATAATGTTAAATAAATAACAAAATATAGTGTTCTCTAGATTTTGTAAAGCTAAAGACAATTTTATTGTGATTTATTATTATTATTTATGGGTGAAATGTTATGAAATACTTTTAAAGTGTAACAATTGTAACAATTGTAGCAATTAAAATTCATGGTAATTATAGATGGACTTAGGGATGGGTTCTACTATGAACGGCTACGATTATTTGCTTTATACCCTGGTCACTATATCAAGATCGCAGGGCATAAATCAGTTATGTCCTGGGCACTATGTGATAAGCGGGACTTTCAGCCCCGCTTATACCCAACTGCCCAGGAAATAACTATTACAAATACTGAGATGATTTTTGCTCTTGAGCTTTTAATTAAAGTTGCTCAGGATTAAATTCTGTTCATCCCATCTTATAAGTAGAAAGAACGATACCTTCTCTGGAACTCAGAATTTTAAGCTTTGTTAACGTCATAGCCGGCTACTAGCCGCCGGATAATAGTCGTTAACAAATCTTAAAATTTCGAGTTCCAGAGAAGGTATCGTTCTTTCTGCTTATAAGATGGGATGAACAGAATTTAATCCTGAGCAACTTTAATTAAAAGCTCAAGAACAAAAAATCATCTCAGTATTTAGCAAATAATCGTAGCCGTTCCTAGTCGAACCCATCCTAGATGGACTTATCTGACGAGAATATCCAGAATAAAAATGTTAGAAATAATGGATATATCCCTGATCGTAAAATTCAAATTGTACATCACGCATCAGATTATGAATGGCGAGGATTCATAGCGATTTAGATTTATATGCTGTAATATAATTGTTTACAGATACTAAAGTTTAACCAAAAATTTTATGCTATAACGATTATAACGATGTGCTTGCTGGAAAATACAGTAAATATATCGAATACAGTATTTGGCCTTTGATTTCAACCACGCATTTACAGTGGCATGCCAACTTCCTACAGAGGATCCGTAAGAAGGTGACATTATATCCCGCGCGAAATAAATTATTCAATTAAGAAAATTTTATCGATATTTTGGTTTATATTCTAAAATAAATTATGGCACGAGCGAATTCGCGCGATACAATATCGCGTAAAATATATGTTATGTACTTTACGTTTATCTCGCACGAGGTACATTTCTAATCCAGTCCTTCATTAATAGTACGCAATTATTCACATCAAAACTTAATGCAAAATCATTTACAATAATCTATTTAATTATAATACATATATATTCAAATTTTCATAAACTATCTTAAATATATTTAACATGATGAAATTAGCTGTAAAAAGTTATCTATGCAATTAATCAAAAAATGTCTATTCTAAAAAAGAATAGATGAACTGTGATTCAAATAAGTATAGCATTTAAGAAAAAAATTGGTATAATATCCCAAAATCATCTCTGTGTGAATATAACCAAACATGCTTGTTATTTTCCATAGTTCGTAGTTTTTTGAGATGGTTTTGTATATTGCTCAAATATTCTTTTTGTTGAGGAGAAACCATATCAAGTACTACCAAATAAAACAAATTATTAAAGCAAAGATAATACCTTAAAAAGAATTAATTAATTAAACCTACTTTTACTTTTAAATGACTCATCGTCTAGTACATCGCAATCTGGAATTTTGCGCAGTACTTCACGACTCACATCCATTGCTACTACAGAAACACTACCATCATTAATATGTTTTATCATTCCAGAAATGTTATCATGTGCTAGATAAAATGATAATAAATGTAGTTGAGTAAAAAAAAAAAACATAAAAATGCAGATAAATGAAATATAGAAATATTATAAACCTTTGTCAATAAGCAATTGCTTCTGCTTGTGTTTCACTTTTTTATTGCCTTTATTTATTGCAGAAGGTATAAAAGTCTTAATGGATAGCTTTGATCGATTACTACCTGCTTCTAATGACATTGGCGGGCTGACATTGCTGAAATCATGCATCGCTGTTTGAACAAAATTTATAAGTTAAGATAAAATAATAAAGTAAACCTGAATCAAAAGAATTTTTCAACATACGATCTGTCTGTGCTATAAGATGATGTTTGTGGAATTTGGATCCTGAAGCATACAAATCAATTCTCATTTGTTCTTGGATTTCACTATTTAATTTCACATAAAGTTCACTACGGGGAACTATCAAACATTAAAATAAATTAATTTTCGAAAATATGAATCGTAAAAAATTTAAATATTTATATGTCGGTTACCTTCTTCTTCAGTTTTCATTATCAAATTCTTTACTCTGACAATAATAACATCATCTCTCGAAGTGTATAAATCTTTATGTCTCATTATCACTAACCAATTTATCCCATTATCCTTGCATAAAGTAGCTAGATTTTCGGGAGTATGATCTGTTGGTTCTTCATACATGAAGTCAGCTTTAATGTTATGTGCCCACAATTCACGAACAAGATCCAAGCGTTCCTGCAGCGTAATTTTACCGATGCTTGTAACGTATACGTCACACTGTATTTAATAATAATGCAAGACATAAATATACTTATAGTTTTAATATTAGTAAATAATTATTATACATACCTTTTTTGGTTTCCAGAATCCAAAACTCCTTTCTTCTTCAAGCTTCTTTTGAATCTTTTTTTGGTAATTTTCCAAAGCGACAACTATTTTTTGTATGGCTATATTGACTCCAACTGCGAAAATTTGTTGTCGAACAACAGGCACACCACTTGCAATAGGAAATCGAAATTTTTGTATTAATGAATCATATCTTCCGCCAGCAGCTATCACGTCTTTTCGGCTACTGTCAACAGTTTGAAAAATCATTCCATTCTTGTTATGATGATTATAATATCTAAAATATAAACGTATATTAGAATATTTCAAATGAAAATAGGTACATGCTTTAAGAATTCTTACGTTAACAATGGTACAAATATAATATTATGACGAACTTCAAGACATTGTGTGTATGTCAACAAAAGAGTGAAATCGTTAATTGCTTCATGTATTCGCCTACGCATATTAGCTGTTGGAATCAACTTATCCAAAGTGGTTGAAATATAGTCCAGGTCCCCTAAAACCATATTATAAAAAATTTTCAAATAAACCACAATATGAGTTTTACATATGTATTCGTTAAAAGATTACCTCTAATATCAAAAAGAGCCAATTCATCCAGCACACTCCTTGGCAAGTTATACTTTTCCATAAGTTGTGTTTTGATTAGATTCATTGTATACTTTTTGTCAAGTTGACTAAGAAAACTATATACACCACGTCGAATCTCTACAGGTATTCTACAACATTCAAAAATTGTTTCTATAATGTTTGTATGGTTTACAAAAAAACAATAATTGTTTGTTTTTAATGGTGGAAATTCTTCGAGAACTTCATCAACCACCTTTATTATTTCTGCTTCAGCAACCATAGGAGCATGAATTGAATGGATTATATCAAAATCGGCCTCATTTACTATACGAGGGGGTTGCCCTTCAATGATTTCCCTACATATATAATGTATTAAGCATGTCATTGCTGAAATACTTAGATGAAATCTCTTTAAAATATTGTAACCTTACCTATATACTCTGTCAAATGTATATCTTTTCAGATCTGTAATATTGTTACGTGAAACATATCTTGAGAAAGGTACCGTTAAGTCATATGGAAGCTATAAATTATTTATATTTATTAATTGTAGAGAACTCAACTTTCGAGTGTTTAAATAAGCAGTTTCTAACCTGTACAATCCCTCCACCTTTATCAATTAAATAAACTGCTTTTTTGTCGTCTTCATATATATCTGATTTAGGCATCAACAAGGGCGTACTTAATTCCACCGCGCCATGATGACGAAATATTTTAACCATATAATCACGTACTCTTCCAAATGTTAGTGCATACGTTGGACTAAAAGCAACATTCCCCTATAAACAAACTATGGTTAGAATTAACTATAAAACAAATAATTTAAAACTAAAAATATAAAAATATACATTACAAAATCATAAATAAAATCTTTATGCTTGTCTGACGATTGAGTAAACAATTCTGAGATTAAAGACAGATAGTGTGGATTGTTTGGATTGGCTAAAATAATGAAAAATTTATCATTAAATATTAAGCATATATTTATTACATTCGATAATAATTCAGAATGAGTCGAAAAATCACCCATTGTTCTCATGAATTCTTGCAAATGTTCGTCTTCAATTTCAGCTGGTAACCATTCACATTTTAAAAGATCTATGCTTGTCGGTCGATTTTTAGCATTGTGTTGCAAGCACCAGCGAATGATATTGACTTGTCTGTTCATTTTCTCAAGTGGAAAATCCTTCGGAAAAGTTATATCAGTCCTTCGAAGGTTTAAAATAGTCTAAATATTTATTAAGGCGTTATTGAATCAATCATAAAGGGATCTGAATAACGAATATATGTCAGCAAAAACGCACCAAATCTTTTTTAATAGAATTTTTTTTTAAAATTTTTAAACAAAAATAACTTAACAAAAACTTAATCAAATTTAATAAAATTTTTTAAATAATATCTATAAGTTTTAGAATTATTATAAGAAATTTTTATTAAATTTGATTAAGTTATTGTTGAGTTATTTTTGTAAAAAATTTACATAGAAATAAATTTGGTGCGTTTCTACTGACTCACCCCATATATTATATAATGAATTTGCTTACTACTCGACGTTCCATTTCAGTAGAAAATTTGTAGAAAATTTCAAATAAAATTATTCCTATAAAGAAATTCGAAGAACAAAGGTTTATAACTTTAACTAATATTCCAAAAAAACAATCATAACTTACCTAATGAATATATATCCACTAAATAAAAAATTGTTAGTATCATCTCCCGTAAATTCAAGTAAATTAACATATCTTGAATATTCAGTTACTTCGTTACCTTTTTGATTATAACGGGTTCCTACTATAGGATTAGTAGCAACTTCTGGTGCGCCATAAAGGAGCGTTCCAACATCTAAACAAGAGAAATTTGAAGTAACAAATAATATGATAGCTCCGCATGAGACTTTTTTCATAAAGTGAAATGAAAATACCTCCAGTCATGGAATCTTCTCTACTATTCATTCTGTAAAAAGTTGATAATCTGCATGTACCCGGATCAAATAATGCGTCGCTCTCATTTGTAGTTGCTAATCCAAAATCTCCGATCTACAGATTATAGTTTTACATTAACAAATAAATAATTGTATATATTTTCTAAAATTTATTACCTTTACATCACCCTTCGCGTCCAAGAAGATATTACTTGGTTTTAAATCCCGATGAATCTAGTGAGCAAATAATAAAGATCTCACTATTTTTCATATTAATCATCCAACTTTTTATGTTAGTGAGATGTAAAATTACCATGCCCTATATAATATAAATTAAATAAGTAAATTTATAAAAATAATTAAATTCATCGGAATTCACTACTTACACTGCGATGAATGTGTACTTTAATAAATCATTAAAAATTATGTAAGAGTTAAGTTATTAAATTTTTAAGTAAATAATTAATTAGCATACCAAGCCCTTCCACTATTTGCCGGAAAATTCTGTTAACCAATATTTTTTCATAAGTTATTTAAAAATGTATCGCTAGCAATATATAAAAAAATTAACCAACCTCCAGCCTTCATCTTCTTTTACACCATTATCAATGATGTCTTTCAAAGTTTTATTTTCACAATATTCCATTTGTATATAAAGTATACGACATTTTTCCTCTTTTATAGGTGACCTTTTGGAAACAGCCTTATTTTTTCCTATACCTCCTCTTGTTATCTCATCTTGCATTTCAATTTCAAATTCAGAATCTGAAGAAGAAGAAGAAGATCCTATAAATTGTATGTTGTTGGATGCATCAGCAGAAAAGAAATCGAAATCGTCATCATCCGGATAATCTTCCGGATCTAAGGACTCATCAACAGCGCCAGTAATATCTTCGCTAAAAGTCTCTGTCTCATTCAAAGAGCCATCCGAGTCTATTGCAATAAAACGAATGTACGTGGAAAATACATTCAATTTGTTGATATACACATTAAAAAATAATATATATTCTCATAAAATAAACATTTGCCTTCAAACCAGGTTGTATAATAGCGGACAACATATTGGTGATGTAATCGTGATAATGTCGTTACCTCTCGCAAAATCTTGCGAGTTTTTTCAATGTCATTTGGATTTAGACGCACTTTTTTTATTGCGTAACACCTTTACGACAAAATCAAATTAATTCAAATAGATAATGAACTATTGAAATAATAAATTCCAAAATTTCTACATACCTGCCATCTAGTTTGTTTTTAGCCTTTACCACCTCTCCATATCCACCTAAATAAAAAAAATATATATTAATTTGATTAAGGTAAATGACATATATAATTATGCATAGCTGGAAAATACCTTTGCCGAGAAACGCGATTTCCTCAAAGTCAAGCTTATATCTTGAAAATTGAGCGTGGTGCTGTGAAGAGTTTGGTGGGGAATATGCGTGCTGTACCTCACTAAAACTACCAGCTAATTCGTCATTTTCTTGTGGAGCAATGGTTCTAGAAGAATTTACATTTCCTATAAAAAACAAATTAATAATGTTTCTTATAAATGCAAAAATAATCCTTAATTTTACTCAACCTGTTGACATGATGAATTTCAAAGGTGTATCAAGAGAACTGGATGGTCCTTCATTGAAAAAAGGCTTTGCAAGCAATTCTAACGGTGTTGGTCTTTTTGATTGATCTCTGAATTCGAATAAAAACAAAAAATAAACAAACCATAATCATATTTAACTAGCTGAAAAATTAAAACTTAAAAAAAGTATATTACTTTTCAAGCATAGTTCTGAGAACATCTTGAACAGCTAGCGGAATATTATGATCGGCTACAAATAATAATATTAAGTCATCTAAAATATTTTGAATTGCAATGAATAATGATAAGATGGATTTCTTACAAGAATTTAACAAATCATTCAATGAATTATATCTTTGGACAACATTTAACCCGAATAGCATTTGCACAAAAATGACACCAAGATACCAAATATCATTCTTTCTGCAATGTAAAATTTGCATCATTAGTCCTGAAACGAAATAAATATTAACAAAGTAATATTATAAATTACCTCGAATATACATTAGATTTTGATTTTTGTTCAGGTGAAATCCTGATCACGATTGGTTCGAAAGCAAAAAAATAAGCAACAATACTTCATAAATTAGAAATCCTATATTATGTCATACCATCTTTTGCATGGCTCTTCGTTTGAAAATTTTACAAATGGGAATTCTCTATGCATATCTAATATTACAAAAAAAAAAAAAAAAAACTAAGGAATAAGCACTAATAAACAATCAAGACTAAATATATTGTTGTTTTGATACATTACCCAATAATTTTCTGTGATAACTAATATCAGATAGCTTAGCTATATAATCGTCCTTCCCAGGAATTTCGGAAAACAATATATTGGAAGCTTTTATATCTTTGTATGAAAATATTTACAATGAATTGCAAAGCTATTTAAAATATAATTCTACTTAATATGAAATTATGAGTAGACCGACCTCTATGTACAAAACCGTTAGCATGTAGATAATCCAGTGCATCTAACAACTGCTTCATATACTCCTTCGCTAATTGTAAGCGAACAACACCACATTTCTTTAATAAATCAACCATCGTGCCTCCACATGTATATTCCATAAGAATGTGCAAATTCCATCCAGATGTGCATCTCTCAAGCTCGGATTCATATACAGTAACCAAGTTCGAATGACGAAGCTTTTTCATACGATCAAGTTCCTTCTCAATATCTTCTAACTAAAGTAAACGGCCAATAATTAAAAATTGACATGGCAACATTTATTACTTGTGACAATCTATGATAAAAGATTTCTCTCAATACCTTATTCTTACCAACCGGCTCTAAGTAGTGTGGTTCAGAAATTTCAATATCTTTCAAAATTAAAACATGACAGTCCTTTGGATTTATATTATTAATTTGAACATTAACTGCCTGAACCATATATGTTGAACCAACAATTCCTAATATGTTCATATATAATAAATTGAAAATGTTGAGACATAATGAAAGGAAACGATGCCAGTAATTATCAATTATGTACCTTTGCCTACTAATGGCCCAAGTATTACGGATCTAAAGGGAACTGACTAAAATAATATGCTAGACTTAATATTTTATTTACTCAGTAATAAATTATAATGTGTATTTATCATTATAAATACCAATGAATCTCCAGGATCCAAAACAATTTTTCTTTCAAAGTTGACAGTTTTAAACACCAAGGATGTGTCCATTAGTGATATTGAGTCTTGAACATCTTTAACTTTCAATTGCTTTTTTTTTTGCCTTTCTTCATCAACCTTTGCCTTTAGACGTTGCTTCTCCTCCTGAATTTTTTGAAGTAATAACAAGTTCTCTGCTGTTCGTTCTTGCTCTTCAGTTTGACGTGCACGATCCATTTCTTCCAGTGCTTTTTTTTGTTCAGCCTAACAAAAAAGATTAAGCATGAAAATTTATTTTCATGAGAGTATATCTAAAAAATAATTTATACGACAAACCTTTGTTATTTTTTCATTTCGCCTTAACATTTGCTCATGAAAAGACTGCTTAACCGAATCTCCATTGTTATTCGTAGTTATAAACTCTTGAACGTATTGAGCAATAGTAAATATCATCTCTTGACCAATATTTTCTTTAATAAGTCGAGATATGTTTGCTCTAACTTCATTCAATTGTTCCTCTGAAAGACCGCGTGCATTTTCAACTTTTATGTCTGGTGCTGAACGTGGATACGTTTTCGGAAATCTAGTGCAATTATGACAATAAGTTTTTGCAAAGTATAAAGGGCGCATACCGAAAACTAACGCGACTCACTTAACGTGCAAGTCCACTGATACATGTTCTTTCAGTTTCTCTTCATGAGGTAAAAGATGAAGTCGAAATTCATGACATGCCGGAGCGACCTAATACGAAAACTTTAAATTTATTCAGCAATAAAATCCAAATCAAGCAATTTTAATAATAGGATCAAACTCCACCTTCCATGCTGAAGTCACAACCACAGGCACGTAGTCTTCCATATAAATTGCTAAAATAGTATAAAGAAGCAATTTTTTACTTTATATAATGAATTACTTTTTATTACGTTTTCACCTAAGCACTAGACAAAACTTGCCTTTCAAAGCCTCAATTTCATTTTCTTGTGTTTCCTAGCGAGCAAAAAGCCAGATATGCAATGTCAACTAAGTGAAAACAAAGAATTTATACCATGGCAATAAATAAAGCAGTAATATAGTCGTTACCTTGTCTTCATTAGACCCAAATCGAGAACCTAGCAGAGATCGTTGTTTTTTTGTTTTTACCATGAAGGGCAAGTATGTTATGGATCACTGCATGACTCGTATATGATACCCTAGACTTAAAAGTCACGATAATTATTTAAAACAAGAATGTGTATGATTTGACTTTGTAAAGCCGTTTATGTAATAATAGAATAAATTTGTACGTGCATTTCGTTTCCTTTGCGACCCACCAATGAAAATGATTTGTAGACAATTTGGATCACATGCCAAATATCTAAAATAGTTCCGAGGTTTCTAATTATAACTAGAATTACGACAATGCGTGATTGGTATCCTGCATTGCAACTGATCCACGTATGTACTGTACGTTTCATTTTATAACTTTTAATTAACTAGTTTTGATAACTTCGATAGCCATATGATGATCACAGCTTGATCGATCAACTAATCGTTAGATGATTATCTACTTCTGTATATTGGAAAAATATTTTTAGCCAATAAAATCATGCTAATGATTAATGCGTTAAAGAAAACTACTACATATAGATTACTAGTGGTGTTCATCGCCACATGCTAAAATTTCGAGTCAAGTTTAAGAGTTTAAGACCAAGAGAGGGGTTATACATGCAAAAATACCGTTCCTGATGGATCGTCGGTACTGTTCCTGATGGGATGAAAAAAAAAACAATTTACATACCGTTCCTGATAGGGTTCTTAAAGGAACCCCGAAGTTTATTCTCATGACGATGCTTAGTTATAATGCGAATGCTAATTCACGACTCGTGATTGATTCACAACGTTGATTTCAACTTTCATAAATATTAGTCTTAAAATAATACAGTACCGTGTCTACGCGAAAAACTTTCATAGGCGTTATTCGAGACAAGTAATTTGAAGAGAACCAATAATTATGGTTGCATTCGGCTAAATTAAATATTAGCTCTCTTTGAAATACATGTCTTAAAATAATGACCATAGACGTCATTTCCCGCGAATTCGGTAAGAAAATTTGGGTTGAAAAACTTAATTAAATGATTGAATACAAATTTCTGGGGGGTTTTTTTTTTGAATTTTATGTTATGCGTTGATCTTATACAGTGGACTGCCAAATTATTATGCAATAGCCTTATGATAGTACGTAGCTTAGTTTTTAGAACCCTATCAGGAACGGTATGCAAATCGTTTTTTTTTTCTTCCCATCAAGAACAGTACCGACGAACAGTAGTTTTGCGTTATACATAATAGTTCAAAATTTAATACGTATAAGGTTACTTAGTACACCAACCTTAGTACGTTTTTGATATATAGCACTGATAATGACAAACTTCAAATTGATTAAATATTAGGTATTTCTATTAACAAAATATCAAATTTTAATATTAGAATTGATATTTTTTTAAAAGATAAAAATATATATTAAAAATTTTTTAGTTAAATTTTTAATATTTTGCTAATATCTTATAAAATCTAGCAAAAATTTTAATATACAGTATATTTAATCTATATATCTAATAAGAACAGACTCTCGCCTTAATATATAAATATATATATATATTAATAATAAATTATAGATAGTTAAAATTAGTTAAATATATAACAATATTATTATGCTATATAAATCTTACAATAATACAATAACAGATAAGGCGATATAAAAAAAATTCTTGGTTTTCATATCCCGGCCGGGTCAAAAATATCTAGATCCCGGATTTTTTTTTTATGGTGCAGCATATAAGTAGCCAGTAAAAATATGCGTCTATTAATTATCAAACTATCAATATATTGTTATACAAATAATCATACATTTTTTCATGAGCGGTTTTATAAGCGATCCATAAGACATATTTATAGGAGGCAAATATGTAAATACATACGTACGTATATAGCTAATTTGCCCTGATCATATTAGAATTTCTAAGTGCTTTTCTCTATGATTTGAGTACTACAAAAACCCGGAAGTGAGAATTAGACTTCAGTGTAGTAAATTTAGCTTCAGATGAATCATAATACAATCGATATTATTTCACCTATAGTTGTTGGACGAAACCTATATTCAAAATGACTAATCCCGCTAAAAAAATTATTTTCATTGAATAAAAATTCATGATTTATTCAGTAATCAGTATCCGAAATTACATGTACGTAAGTCAACAAAATAATCCAGTTCATTTTTTCTGGGCAACGCTATAGACCGGTTGAAATAACTAGAGAGGCAAATGCGCATGTTCGTGTAGACGCATTAATGCACAATTTATATATATAAATCTTGATGGAGAAATGGCCACCTTTCCAGGAATCATGCGCATCAGCTCATCTCTAGAAATAGCCTTGCCAAAAATCCATAGTACTCATGGAATACACAAATAATGAATTAAAACATAAAACCACAAAGTAACCACCAAGCGATTTCTCACTAGAACTGATACAGTATAGAATACTCATTTCTAACACCCTTAAATAATTCTTGTGATTTTTATAAATTTCTATTTTTGATATTTTCACATTATCTTCAGTGAGTTTCAACATTTAACTGTATTTCGTCTTTTAATAGTTTTGTCACCCTCTGTAGTTTCGTCTGTTTTATCACTTTTCGCCAGTTTTGTCACCTTTCATCTTTCATCAGTTTCATCACCTTTCGTTAGTTTCGTCATTTAAAATTTTAATTGACGAAATATGAAACTTAGTTTCACGTTTCGTCAGTCTAACAACTATAATTTCACCGATAGTTAGTTCACAGACAATCAATTCACAGAAGTTCATTTCGTAGACAATTTATTTCACCGATAGCTCATTTCACAGACGGTCATTGTTATTAGATTAGTTTAGAACGAAGGTAATGCTAGTGCAATTTTATAAGAAAAAAAACCTTTACTATGAAATGAGCTGTCGGTGAAATAAGCTATCTATGTTTGCGAATTGATTATAAAATAAACTTGTCTATGAATTAATTGTCGGCGAATAAGGTGTCTATGAAGAGATTGTCGATGAAATAATATGGATCCATCACTACCATTATTGTTGAACTTTCCAAAACCGATATGCCTAATGGATAGGTTATCGAGAGGTTATACATTATAACTATTGAATCTATATAAAGAATTTTGACAGGCTATCGGTTTTGACTGGATCGGTTTGGGAGATTCAACAGTAGGTTGTTTCAATTAATCGAAATGATTGAGCAACATCTCAATTTAATCCGGCTCAATTAAGCATATTATTATGGATTAATTCATCAGCTTTATTAAAATTTGGAAATATTTATTATTACACTGTGTTTATTGATTTACTTGCACAAAACATTAACCAAGGCAATCGAATAAGCTATCAGGTTCGTGAATACTTACCAATATATAATCAGTTCATCTGGATCGATTACTCTTGAACTTCTCAAACCGATCCTGTCAAAACCGATAACTGATAAAAACAATTAGTCCACCAGGTCTGTTTCTGTTATATAGATCCAATAGTTTATGGTGTTTTCAAATCTGATAACCTTTCAATGCTGATACAAAACCTAATCAACATATATATCGGTTTTGGGAAGTTCAACAATATTTGTTTATTCATCCGCGTTATTCAGATTTTGGAAGTAATTACAATTTTATTAATTCATCAACACTATTCAGGTTCTGGAATGTTGAGCATCCCAAAACTGATATGTATGGTGGATAGGTTTTCGTATCGATATCGAGATTATCAAATTCGAAAACATTATGAACTATTGGATCTTTTATTAGATTTAACAGTGAGAGGCTCAACAGTATTACACTAGATGAACAAATATAATATTTATTGGCCGAGGTATTTAAATAGGCTATAATATATAAATAAAAGATCATAAAAATTTGTAAATATTGATAATCTCAATTTCACATAAAAAATTTGTATATAAAAAATCTAATATATAAAAAAAAAAAGCCGGGTGGCCGGGTCATAAATTTTAGTTGATGTTATGAAAGCCAAAAAATTTTTTTTGTATGGCCTAATAAATAAAATCATAATATTTTTTAATAATTAATTCGTGATCCGCCAGGAACCAGAGAAAAAAATAGTAAACCGTGGGGAAATTTAGAATCTGGAGTTTCCCAAAGGATAAATCGATTTTTTACTAAAAAAAACCTCCCCAACTTCTAACAAAAGTTGTAGAGGAGAGAATTTCGAGCATAATAGTAGTTGAAATGCTAAAATCGGCCTAGTGGGTCGTCAGATATGGGCATTTTTGTCTTCGCGGCTTCTTTGTGTAAACAAAGAAGTAAAGATATAGTCGCGAAGACTGAAATGCACATATCTCACGTCCTCTGAGCGTTTAAACTACCATTATGCTCGAAATTCTCACCTCTACATCTTTTGTTAGAAGTTGGAGAGAGGTTAGCTTAGTAAAAAGTCGATTTATCCTTTGAGATCACCAGATTCCAAATAGGCAAAATTTACATAGTAAACATATCCCCACGGTTTACTATGTTTTTTCTCTGGTTCCTGGCGGATCACGAATTAAATACCATCTTAATAAACTATATATCTACATTTTAATTCTTATACAACTTAGATTCTCTACCTTACTAGAAAACCGTTCAATTTCCAAAAACCAATTATAATTGTATTTATTTATTTCGCATTCTATTACTAATTAATTTTTATAGACAAATACAGAATATTCAGGCTAATATTGAAAACATATAATGATATATGTGACATTAATAATAGATTTAGTGTAAATTTGTCACTCGATCATGGGTCTGTTAACACAACAAAAACACAACTATGAAATACACTATCGAGATTTCGCCTTGCTGCTCACCTGGTCTACAGCTGGTTCCGTAGCATCGCATTTCTCTCTTTTTTTTTTTTTTTTTGATATCCGGCTTGTTTGGTCGGGCTACCAAACTTTTACCTCGACATCCGGACTGTTAGACTTCTCCCCTTCTCAATTTCCCATCACTCCGGTGGTGGGTGGATGGGTACTATGACAAATCTAGACCTTCGTCGAGCTAGCAGCAAAGACAAAAGAGGAAAACTATCATTTAAATAGCTATTACACGTCACTCTGGTTATACCGACATCTG